GCTTCCTAGTTTCATACACGTAAAGATTTTGGAATCCCCATATCTGTCTTTAAAGATTTGCCTAACTGCTTCTTCAAAGCTTTAGGGCCTCTCAGATAAATGTACATAAAAGACATTTTTTAAACAATATTGACTCAAAAGGAAGACTGCAGGTCATGATTTTCACTTCATGATTACTGAACTTTCCTGAAAGCTTTATTCCTCCATTGAGTCTCCCTCCAGGAAAACAAGGAACATTCTTTGCAATTCTAACACTTTTAAAGAATGACCTCCTTGGCTCAAAGAGAATCTTTTGATTATTAGTGACAAAAATGAATTATCCTAAAGCGAACTCTTTTTGAAAGCATAGATCCCGTTTTGTAGGAGGAAAACCTAATCTCAAGCCCTAGAACATGTCAGGTTAATGGCTAACTTGCTGCAAGGAGAGAAATAGGAAAAAGCAAAATTGCTAAATCTGCTGAAGAACTAATCAAGCATATTGTTCCCTTGATTCTAGAAAATTGCAATGAGCTTTTAGAAAGGTTGAAAAGATGTCCATGGCACACTTTCATTTACTTTGTTGTAAATGTGTATTCCTCCTTCCCTGAGGTGTTGGTATTCCTAGGGGTGTGGGGGGATGGAGGTGCTGAAGATTATAGCTACTGGTGATATTCTGGTGTGCCCTGGCAAAGTTCCTGTCATTCCAAATGACAAATGGTTCCCTCTTCTGGGTGAACTTAAATTCAGTCCTTAAGCTGAGACAGCCCGGAAGGAATCACCATTGGTCTTATGTTTATTAAAATATAGTTGTGAGGCTGAGGTATAGCTCATTACGACAGCACTGGCCTGGCATGCCTGAGACCCTGGGTTTGATCCCCAGCACTGCACAGTCAACAAGCACAAACAAAGCCAAACAACAACAACATTAAAAACTATAGAGTAGATCACGAGGGGCGCACACCTATAATCCCAGCTGCTTAGAGGCTGAGGCAGGAGGAACACAGGCTTGAGGCCAGCCTTTGTAATTTAGTGACCCTATCTCAAGATAAAATAAAAAGGACTGGGGAGTGTGGCTCAGTGGCAGATCACTTGCCGAGCATGTGCAAGGACCTGGGTTCAATCCCAGCACAGCAAAACAATCAAAAAACATAGTTTTGAATTTTATCCTTAAGAAACCAACCACCTATGACCAGCTTAAGTATGTTCCAGAACTGGTGATGAACACCATGGCTTCCTTTCTTTCCTTCATCTTTCCCTCCTTCTCTCTTTTCTTTGATTCCAAAAACTTTTAAAAATACAAAGAGTACAACAAATATCTTTATTTCCAGTATTCAAAAATGAGTATCTTTTTGTTAGGCCAGATTTGGCTTCCAGTGTTGCTTCCTTTTAAAAGAAATTATTGGAGGGAAGAGGGAGGGGAAGTGCAATGAAATTAACTAAATTATGCTGTTATATTGTGTGCAGTACAAATAGGTAACAATGAATCCCACTGTTGTGTATAATTATAGTGCACCAATAAAAAGAAAAATTAAAAAAGAAAAGAAATTATTGATGAAACTCAATTCCTCTTTAACTATCACACCTGTTCTTTCCTTCACCCTCTACACCCTCTGCTGTCTACAACACCTGCCCCAAATTCTCCAACATAAACATGGTCTGTATTTGACCAGCCTCATATTTATACTTTTACCTACATACATGTGTTTTCTTAATGAATACATGCAATTATGTTTGTTTAAAATTTTCCTTTTATCAACAGCTGCCTCGTATTTAATCCTGTAAATACAGCACATTTTTCTTACCCATTCCCCTTTCTTGGTGTCTCTTAGATCATTCCAGGTTTTGTTATTCTAAAAACAAAACTTAATCTTTTTAGTATATGTCTCCTTGTGCATATAACTTTAAGCCAAGTGCATCCCTCAGGAAGAATCAGTATGCCAGGGGATGTTTGTAGTATCACTTTCAGTAACTATAGTCAAGTTATTCCCTAGAATAATAATTGCTTAAAAATGCCCAAATTGTGGTTGGTTCTGCCAAAAGCAAACTAAAATATTATGCTATTCTCCCCCACATCTTGGACAACACTGAATTTTTTTCAGTCTCTTTCATGTTCAGATGGAAGAAAAATGGAATCAATTATTTTAGTTTGCATTTTCCAACACTTTTTTTTTCTTTTAAAGAATGGACTTCTTTCTTTATGTCTTGATCTTTGTGATTTATTCTTTGAATCATCTTTATTTCTATTTATTTGTTGTGTTTTTCTTTTTCTTGATTTTAGGAGTCCCTTGCATATTCTGGTATTCACCTGTATCTTTGGTAGGGCTGACATTTGAGAAGATCATTTCTTCAGATTATTAGAACAGTTAAATTGTTCTGTTTCCAGATTTATTTTCATATATTATCAAGAAGTCAGGCCCATCTTTCTACCCCCAGTCGGTTGCAAATCCTTTTGGATCTACTTTCAAAATATGCTACATGGACCTGACCACTTTTCACTGTCCACTGTGCTACATTGGGTACCTTCGTTCTCCAGGGTCTGCAGGAGCCTCCTCAGTGGCCTGGTTCTTTAGTTCATTCTCACCAAAGACCTAGAGAGACCTTATCAAAGTGTAAGTCAGCTCTTTATTTACCTCTCGTGAGAACCATGTAATAATGGCTTTGCACTTTGCTGCCAATAAAAACCCAAGTTGTTATAGTGGCCCAAGAGGTCCAGCATACACCAGCCCCATGTCACAGTCACTGTCACTGCTCCTTCTCATCTCCCACTTCTCTCCTCTTGCTCTGGTCCCTGCTGTTCTCTAACACACCAGTGTTCTCATGCACTTTCTTTTCCCTCTCCCTGGAATTTATTTCCATCCAAAACCATCTATCTTTTTTTGCTGAATTCTCATTTAGATTTTTCCCCAGAGATGTTACCTCCCTGGAGATATTTTCTAACCTCCTTGCTTAAAAATGCAGCAATCGCTCTACACTGACTGCCTTTGTTTCCTAGGGCTATAGTAACAAAGTATCACAGATTGAGTAGCTTACAACAACAGAAATTTTTTTGCCTCACAGCTCTACAATCTACAGGTTTGAAATCAAAGTGTCAGTAGGGCCATGCTCTCTCTGAAAACTACAGGGAACCCCCACCTCTCCTCTCCTTGGTTTCTGGTGGTTTGATAGTAATTCTTGACATTGTTTGTCTTGCAGCTACATAAGCCACGTCTCTGTCATCACCTGGCACCTCCCTGCATGTCTCTGTCTTTACTTATGGTTTGGATCTCTAGTATGCCCTAAGGTTATGTTTTGAAAGCTTGGTTTCCAGAGCAGCAGTGTCTAGAGGTGATCTTACCTGGTTGGTGGATTAACCCATTTGATGGATTAAAAATAGGTGAGACATGGGTGGAGGAAATAAGTCATTAGGAACTACATGTTGTCCCTGGCCCCTTCCTCTCTTTCTGTCTCTATTTCTGTCTCTCTTTCTTTCTGCCTCATGCTCCAAGAAGCCGACAGCTTTCCTCTCTCACTTCCTTATACCATGATATTCTGCATCACCTTAGGCCCAGAGCAATGGAGCCACTGACCATGGATCAGTGAAACCTCTGGATCCCTGAGTAAAATAAGATTTTCTTTCTCCAAGTTGTTTGTGTTGGGTATTTTTGGCTACAGTGATAAAAGGCTGATGGGTACACTTCATCTTTGCTTGTTATATCTTCAACAACTTTATTTTCAAAGAAAGTAAAGTTCCAACGTACTGGGGTTAGGAACCCAACATTTTTTTTTTTCTGAAGTGCAGGGAAAATAATTCAACCCATAAAACACATCATTTCCTTTCCTACTCTGTTTCTCCAGAGCACTTAGCACTATTTAACCAACCATATATTTCACCTATTTTTTTTTTGTCTGTCTTTCCCCACCAGAATATAGACAGCATGAAGTCAGGATGTGGGGCTATGTTTATTGCTGTAATATATTAATGCCTGACCCCTTAATAGCATCTCAATAAACATTTGTCAAATGAATGCATTCACTCTGTTAAATTATGGCATTGAACAGGCCAATTAACATGTTGTGGAATAAAAATAATTAGGTAAATTCACCCTTATACAAAATCCTACAGAATGAGTCAGTGTTTATTATTTTAATACTTTTTAATTCAAAGAAGGGCATCTGAAGGAAAAGTAGAGGTCGATATCAGAAAAGATAGGAGTGAGCTGACCAGTTGGGGGATGAGTATATCATCATTGAGTGATTTATGAGTAGTGAGATATCTTTGGTCCCTTTGTCATTCTTCCACTTATCCTTACAATTAAGATGGAAAAATATTTTGCTTTGTCTAACATATTCTTGGAACTATGTATATACTTTGTATATACTATGTATATACTTTAACTCATTTAGAAATAATATATTCTTAAAAAATGTATCCCTTGCATATTATTATACCCATTTTTCAGAAGCAAAAAGTGAGGAACAACAAGGTTGAGCAGCCATGTAAGCCACAGAGATAATACATTACTAGGATCTAAATTCAGGCCAATGGGACCAAAACCTGTGTTCCTTCCCTTGTCATATGACTTCAGATTCTACTGGGACCAGAATTTCATAGGAAAGGTTGTAAACTGACCCACAAATGATTTTTCAGACAGGTGATTTGGCATAGAACATCACTTTTGGTAAGTACCCTTCTTACCAAAACTCATGGATCAACCTTATATTTTGGCACAATGGAAAGCCCTAGTGCCAGCCTGCCCAGTTCCTGAAAAGGGCCAAATGATATGGACAGGCCAGCTCTGGAATAGGCATCAGATGATAGAGAGTCAAGGCACCATTGTGTGGTCATGTGTGAATCACCGAAGCGCCTCTCAGCCACATCTCTCCTCTGCAGAGCAATGATGATGCTCATAAGAAATCACATGTGCCTTTATTCTGCCTTTTAAACAATATCTGTGCAGTCATACCAGCTCAGTTTTTGTGGTTTGTGGTTTCTGTTGAGTTCTCTGCTAAAATATCATCAAAATTTCTTGTTTGTGGTGTAGGTATCCTAGGACAACCTGCTGACCTTAACTCCTCTACAAAAAAATCTGTGCATCCAGCCACTGAGAACTCCAAGGAAGCAGCAGTAGTCTAAAAGGTAGTGTTTGCTTCATTTTAAATTTTTTTCCGAGGGTCTGACATAACTGAACTGCTACGGGCAAACTTATAATAGTAGAACATTCGTATGTACATATAAAATAGAACTTTTAAAATGGTAAAATTCAGGTCTAGATTCCCTTGGAGAATTTACCCTGTCTCGACTTCTATTTGTAGCTGCCATTAAAAGTTGGAATATAAATATTATGTCAGTTAAATAAAAGAGTGATGACTTCACTTTATGAAAGAAAGCATTGCCTTTGCTTTCCATGAAATGTAGCTTAACTGTTGCTTGATTGATATGCCATTATATCATCCTCACCCCACAGACAGTTACACATATTTAATAATTTTTATGTATAAAAAGTAAGGTTAAACAGTTACAATGTCAAGTTGTTATGCCTTATGGTGGCTTTGAGAATGATGGTGAAATTGAAATGAAATGAGTAGCACCAGGAGGCGGCTTCTGCCATGAGCCATGTCTCCTAAAATGGCTTGGGATCATTCTTGGTAAGAGGAAGTCCTAGTGGTATCCAGTGGGACAAGGAAGGCTGGATTTTATCAAAAGGTTCAAAGATCAGGTAAAATGATCTCTTGCCTTTATACATCTTTGAATGGTGACATTGGAAAAGTTGAACGTGTTTTTTTTTTAAATAGCAATCAAGGAGAAGACATGCACTATTGAGGGTCAGAAAACAGTACTCCAAAAGTGTGAGTGTTGGCATGCTGAGTATTTTGAGCTGAAAGATGTTGGTAGGGCCTCAGAAGCAAAATCTTTTTTGACTGTATCCTATTCCCCTCTCTCCCCAGGCAGGCCTTAGATACTGGAACCCCTCTCCCTCAAAACCAGCCGTAAAACCTAGAAATGTTTACTCATAACTTTCCCCCAACATCTGTGTAAGAGCTGGCCATAAAGAAATTCTCTGGCCTACCTTGTCTGACAGTCGGTCATCCCAGAAAGGTCCTGTTTTGTACATGGGAAAAAGGAATGCCGCAAAGAAATACCTAGAAGAATTGAAACCCATAGGCCCTGCTGAGTTTCTTCTCTTTGTCTCTCACTGATAGGTCATTCCCATTTTGTCCAATCTCACTTCTATACAGCTGTCCATTTTCATCAGATCTTGGCATTAAAAAAGCCCAGTTTTCCTTGTGTCTCTGGGCTTTCATTTCTGAAGGCTCCTGTGTGGCATACAACATTTATTAGGTACATTGGTTTACTTTTCTCCTATTAACCTGTCTTTTGTTATTTTGTTAGAGGAGCATTGGCTGTGCCCCTTATAATGGGTGTCCCATCTTTCTCCCCCTGCAGTACTAAGCTGATAAATTCCTCAGCATGGGGTCACTGGGCGGTGCTCATTTAATCCCACTTTTATATAAATACTCATATCCTTTTCCATCAGTCATTCTCATCTCTCCTCCTTCAATAGTGTGTCCCACTCCTGGGTCTTGGCAAACAATTTTGCATGATATATACATATTTATTATATGATATACATATATGTTAGCCTCATGTGCCAGAACACAATGATGTTGTGTTTTCTTTCTTGCTTCCAGTTAAGACCCAGTCTCCTGTAACCTGTATGCCTAACCATCCGTGACCTGCCTTCCTTTTTCTCTCATCCAATGGTCATCTAAAACCCATGCCAAGTTTATGAAGTCAGGCAAGACTGCACCTAGAATTTGTAGGATTGTGAGACATTGCTGTATCTTCTAGAAGTACTCACCAAGTTCAGGTTGTGTTGGGATGAGGCAGGTATCTTCACTTTCTAGTATGCCTGGCTTCTTTTTAGTGAATCATGTACCCATCTAGAGAGTTTCCCTGGAAATGAGAGAAGGTTTAAAAGTAGGAAATTCAATGAACTGAAATGGAGCATCCTAACTAGAGTCCTTGAATGGCATTATTTGATCTTTCTGTTATTATTATTATTCTGGTTAGTGTTTTAAGCCCTGAAGCAAGGCAATTTTTAAAGTGAAAGCTGTCAATACAAAATATATATCTGAAAGAGTAGGATTTGAACATCAGTAATTACTAGAAAAAAGAATTGTAGCTTATTTTCAAGTTTTAGAAACCTTTCTTATTCCTCCATACATAGAAAGACTTCTCTACTAACAATAAAGGGCATGTGCCTAATGATTTCAACTACTCCCATTTTTTAGATTTCAGCTGATCAATGGGAGATATTAGTCAACTCTCTTAGCCTCTCTGAACTCTGGTTTCTTCTTCCATAAAATGAGGCTAATTATAGGAAAGACCTCATGGAATGGCTATGCAAGATTAAATGATAATTTATGTAAAGTGGTTAAGAAGGTGTCTTGCAGGCAGAGGCTCTCAAGAAATGGAAGCCAGAATGATTATTATTAGAAGGAAATGTTCACTTACCAACTCTGTGTTGTTGTGGAAGGATTTTCAGTATTTTATTTCTCTTGGAATATTACCTATTGCAATCTGAAACTCTAAAAGTAAGGTAAAATAATGTGGCAAAGTACCATGTAGATATTTTTGATAGTCATAATTTTGTGCAAACAGCAATGCTTTGAGGTTAAATTCTGCCAATCTAAGAGCCACGTCTGAGTAATATTTTATCATTTAACTTTGTGCTGTGCTTTCATTTCAAATCCACCAATGTACTTGGCAAGATGATCAAGGAACACCTAATTCCAACTTCTGTTTCTTAAACTAAAACCAAATATTACTAGATGAGGTTAAACATTTTTCAGAGAAGAGGTAGGAAATGCAAAGGAATATTTCCTTAATGTTTTTATTTGTTTTATTTGTTTCTACTTCTTTTATGGATATGTAAACTCTACTGGATTTAACATTCTCACAGATATCAACTGTAATATAGACCTCCCAACAAATATCTGGAGGCCCTAGAAAGTAAAAATAAGAAGACAGATTACTTGGGGGAGTTGAAATTCAAAACTCAGAAGTAAGTTTTTCATTTTACAACTTTTAGACTGAGACCAGGCTGAAGTTAATGTCACCTTGGATGGCTAACCCTCAATTTAAAAACCTGTATAGAGTCTTTGAGGTTTGAAGACCCAAACAACAGAATTCAGGTAACATAGACACTGAAAAATGAGTTTTGAATCTGTTGAAGAAGAGAGACAGAGAAGAGAAGCTCCTTCATCTGTTTATAAACATTAACCAAATATTTGGCCGATACCTGAACCATGTATTCAAGAGCAGATATAAGTTAGCACAGTTAAAAATTTAAAAACTGAGTTGAATTTGACCTGCCATCTGAGGTGATTTTCAGTTTGCATATAACTAAATTAATTGCCTGCTAAAATTCTTCTGAAAACTAAGGCAGAATTCAGAATTTCTTCACAATAACATTTATATAGTCATTGATACAACCCCAACTTACACAAATATGAAGGAACAAGAAAATGACCAATTTTTTAAATATTTATTTTTTAGTTGTAGTTGGACACAATACCTTTATTTTATTTATTTATTTTTATGTGGTGCTGAGGATTGAACCCTGGGCCTTGCACATGCAAGGTGAGCACTCTACTGTTGAGCCCCAGCCTGAAAATGACCAACTTTGCTTTTTATCTATTTATTTATTTTGGTGCCAGGGATTGAACTCAGGGGCACTTGACCACTGAGCTACATCCCCAGCCCTATTTTTGTATTTTATTTAGAGATAGGGTCTCACAGAGTTGCTTAGTACCTCTCCATTGCTGAGGCTGCCTTTGAACTCGCGATCCTCCTGTCTTAGCCTCCCTAGCCGCTGGAATTACAGGCGTGTGCCACCATGCCCGCTGGTTGGAGTTGGTGAATATCATGGTAAGTGAAATAAGCCAATCCCTTAAACCAAAGGCCTAATTCACAATAAGTTGGGAGGCAGTCGAGAAGATTAGATTAGGTAGAGGGAAGTGAAGGGAGGGAAGCGGAGGGGATGTGGGGATAGGAAAGATAGTAGAAAGAAACAGACATATTACTTTATGTATATATGTGACTGTGTGACAATATGATTCTACAACATGTATACTCAGAAAAGTGAGAAATTATATCCCATCTATGTATGATATATCAAAGTGCATAAATGCATTCTCCTGTCATGTATAACTAATTAAAACAAAAAATTGATTACAAAATAAAATAAAATTGAAAAATACAATATTTGAAGTAAAATCCACCCAATAGGCTTACAACAGTTGTATTTAACCAAGGAAAGTGTCAGCAAACCTGAAGATAGATCCTTAGAAATGTTCATTCTGAAGCCCAGAAAGAAAAAAGATTAAAGTAAATTAACAGCAGCATACTACAGGACACAGAAATATGGCATATATACACAATAGAATATTACTCAGCAATAAAAGAGAATAAAATCATGGCATTTGCAGGTAAATGGATGGAGTTAGAGAAGATAATGCTATGTGAAGTTAGCCAATCCCCAAAAATTAAATGCCAAATGTTTTCTTTGATGTACGGAGGCTGATTCATGGTGGAATAGGGAGAGGGAGCATGGGAGGAATAGCTGAACTCTAGATAGGGTACAGGGGTGCAATGGGCAGGAAGGGGACATGGGGTAATTAATGATGGTGGAATGTGATGATCATTATTATCCAAAGTACATGTATGAAGACACAAATTTGCTGAATATACTATGTATACAACCAGAAAAAAATATATATATATATATTTGAAAAAATAGTGACCAAAATTTTCAAATTTGGTGTTATTACACAAATAAAGATCAAAAAACTTAGTAGCCCTAAAAATGGGATAAATTTGAAGAAAACTGTGCCTTGTTACTTTATATTCAAACTGCTGAGCACCAACAATAATGAGAAAATCTTGATAGTAGCCAAAAAAAAAAAAAAAAAAGACACAATACCTCTGGGAGAGTGATGCTGTAACTGAACTCCTGACTTCTCATCAGAAGTTACTGAAGCTGGAAATAGTGAAATAATATTTTAAAAAACAGAATGGGAGAAGCAAACAACTGTTAACCCAAATTTCTATGCATAGAGAAAATATCCTTTGAG